CTTCTTTCTCTCTTTCTGGAGGCATAAAGGAGTTTTTCTCTGGTATTTTTATGAAAACCTAGTTGATCTAGAACTCAATCTTTCAAAATTATGAGGTCCTCCCTGAGCTGGCATATATATTTTCTTTTTAATTTCCTACAGATGTCTGCACTGAGCCTTCAGCAATTTCAATGAATTGTCAATTATATTTAGGTGTCTCTTTTCTTTTCCTTGGCTGCATGCTCAGAGGTGCTCAGGTAAGGCCTGACTCCTGTGCTACCTGTTTTTTTACTTGATGGCAGCCATTTGGTCTGACTTTACCTCTCTTAGAGACCTCAGAATGATCATTCTTTTTTTTTTCAGTTGGTCTATTTAGCTTTTTACTTCTTAAATATGAATGGTGACACCTAAGCTCATTAGAAGGGAAACCTGATCTACAGATTCCTTTTAAAAATAATTAAAATGCACATATTGGTGTTTGTATAATAGCTCATTTTGCATTTGATTCATGCATGAAGTGTTACCTTATATTTCACTGTTCTTTGCCCCTTCAGAATAGATGATACACTTATTTTCTAGGTACAAAGTAAATGGAAATCCTAGCTTACATATAATCGTGTTATAGAAGCATATCACACGGCATACACAGATGGTGACTACTCAGTGTGTCTTCTGTCTTTAGTTCTAAATCTGCATTTACAAGTACTTTAAAATTCAATATGCTGCCCATGTTTCCCTAAACTAGCCAACAAATGCCAATGTACCTTTATACTTAAATACACACTGTCAGGGTTTAGCTATTCCTTAATATCACATTTTATGCTAATGTTCTCAAACTTGAGAACTGGATATTATTTTTAAAAGATAAAGGATACATAAATGTAATGTAATATGGGTTATAGTAATCATAATTTTCATCCCCAGTCATAATCTAAGTACGTGTTCTATTTCTTCTAACTTGATTCCTTCCCCTTCATCAATGGAATTCCTCATCTTTCCTTCTATCCATTGTCTTAGACCAAGTTGTCATTACTTGTCATCTGAATGTCTACAGAAAGATCCCATCTTACTCCC